AATTTAAACTAACTAGTATAAAAGTCACACTAAAACGCTATTCGCCTGGTTGACCCCAGGCTTCAATTAGTTGCCAACAAAACGAGCCTAGTATAAACTTGAAATATAAGGAGCATAGTATATCTTTTGAATAAACATGCGTAGTTTAATGCTGGTTTATCCCAGAAACGATTTCCACGCCCCCAGATTTGTTTTCGATCTGCCAGAAGGATAAATATGCTAATAACACCGACAAATTGAAAATGTAACTTAGTTAAGAGGGCCATTCCCTTGCAAAGGTGGGAAGCGCACTTTTGTACTAGTCACATTTTCAATATGTCGATGTTATTAACTACTGATTAACCAATTAAACAATTATATTTTTTGCATTTATTTTGGTGCAAAACATAACTTAACTTGTTACATTTTATCCTTTCTTTCTCCTGTTTTCCATCTATTTTATGTCGAATCCTAGACAATCCTAGAATATTGTACAATGAAGTATTGATTATGAAGTAATTAGTTTTTTATGTTTCAACTAAATGGTCTATTAGTGAATCTATCAATAAACAGTGAAATTACTACTGATTTTTTACAATTTTTTTTTCTTAGTTTCTATAAATTTATCATGTTCGAAATAATTTTTGTTTAAGAAATGTCGCGGGAAGATGATTAGACCGGTTAAGCCTGTGGAAGTGTTTTAACAGCTTTAGATAGATGTGCGCAAAGATCATTGACTCGCGTTACACGACTGTACTTAAGAATCTTGTGAACAAAAACATCAAAAAAAAAATCAAGCGTTTTCTTCGCTCTACTGGGCACTTTTACATTTAGTACTTTGTAAATCTTCAATAGTAAATCTAACGCTTAGAAAAAGTCTGGTCCGCATGCGATTGTGCTCCTATCTAAAATAACATAGTACATTCCTTCCGCAAAGGCAAGCGTATCACAATAAATTAACGGTGCACTTGAGGTATCGATTTCATCATTAGGTGCTTCCTGCTTCCATCTCACGAACACTGAAGCAAAATCTTCCAAGGGCGGCAGGTTCGTAGGATCTGCTTTTCTGACGTTACCCTGGTGTGTAAGCTCTGCCATAATTTTTAGTAGCGCCTGTATTCCAACTGAAAATAACATAAACTGAAATTAATTAAATAACTATTTTCAATCACAATGAACGCACCACAAGCAATTTCGTCGTAAAAGTGGTTCAGCATGAGGCACAAAGGTACGATGGTTGAAAATGGTTGGGTGGCATCTTTATCCGGATACATCAGTTCGAAGTCGCAATGAACCTGAAGAAAAATTGCAGTAATTAAAACAAAACATTTTGAATAATGGCATCATGCAATCAATCTTACATTTCAGGAGTAACCCTTGAAAACGGCACAACAGATTTTGTTAGCAACAGCCCTTTCCACACGAATCAAAGTACGCCCACGCAAACCGATGCCATTATCGGAAAGGGAAGAATTACCCCAACCGATGATGATTTGTGTTGGCGTGCTTCGGTTCTCGTGGAAAGGGCCTTACAATTTGTGTTTACAAAGTTTACAAAGAAATAATTTGTAAGAATTATTGTTCATTTGATTATCATAGGGGTTAATGTCAGGTAAGTATGATTATTGTTCATTTGGTGAACATCATAACGAAACTTATAGCGAATTTGTTTATTATCCAGTTCCAACCTGGATCGGGTATCAAGATAGGGTCTGCTTGTTTACTAGCAAACGTCACTTTGATCGTTTGTTTTTATAACCTGGCACGGGTTGAGGTTCGCACTGACAAAAAGTTTGGGTTCGCACTGGGTTGGAACTGGTTCCAACCTGGGAATAAACAAATTCACTATTAAGTTGCATGACCTCCAATGACATACTTACCCACTAACCTAGCAGTAACCTCCTCGCAAAGCTCTTGGTGTAATCTTTCCATGCTGGAATATTCAAAGATAAATAATCAACATAGATCTATTTCTTTCCTAATCCTACTTAAATTTGATTAAAAAGGAGACTTACCTTGATACGTCAGCAGAAAACTATGCAACCGAAGAGAAATCTCTCCGGAACATACGGGATCGTCCAGGTAGAGGGACCGATCGGCTGGCTTAGTAGGAGGCAGATAAACCAGACAAAATCTGGAATCCACTCTTGAGGGTTACCTATAATAAAAGGACATAAGGTATAATGGAATATCATTAAAAAAAAATCAATTTACCTACTGTAATTTCAGGTTAAAAATTGTCACCGAGAAACGAAACACTGCTTGCTGGCAAACTGAAATGATCGAAATGACAGCTCGCGCGCATGGAGGGGTGCTGATTATGTTTACGACGAATACACTGAAAAAATTTCTCTCGTACAAATCGGGCTTAGTTTAAAGTATATGGTGAAGATAGTATACTTTTTAAACTATGCTGGTTGTAAACCTCGCGAATGACAAAAATGATTAAATTTTAAACTATGTACGACTCGCAGTATTTCTGAGTGCAGATGGAACAAGAGTTCCACCGAAATGAAAACTATTTTTAAACAAACTTTCGGAGATTGAAATTCCAAAATTATGCCGGATGCTCGATTTTTTTTAAACTTGTTTATTAATGTAGGAGTGGCATTATTCCTCTATGTAAGGTTGAATTTCAAGAAGTGGACTTTAAACAAACCAGTTAAATAAAGTATGCAAGTATTGTTTGACCTTGATGTTCGAATTAATCAATTATAACGGTGCCTCAATATTTTTAATACTTTGTCATACTTTTTTTTTCATAACTCTGATTCATAGACATTTTCTTTAACAAACAATACCGCATTCAAGTTAATGGCATCATTCTCTATTGTACTAGGACTACTTGTTTGAGTGATGAAATTTGATGATTTTTAACATCTTTTCAATAAATTTGAAAATTCGTCAAAGCAGTTATTGGAGTCTCACGATGAAATGCTATCAGAATTGTCTTTATATCTACCACCAAAAATATGCTATAAGCTAACCAAAAACACATCCCATAGTGATCAATTTCATTCCGGTGATCAATTTGCCCCCAGACTACTGTAGTTATCTATGGGACAAGAGATATGGAAAATGTCCACAGCTCATACAATTTCCAATAAAAATATGCACTAAAAACATTAAACTGTGTAGAACCCCCAAAACAGCCCATGTAATTAATGAAAAGCCCCTATTTAATTATTATTGTTTATAAATCTAAAAACAATCTCTAACCCTGATTTGCATCTTGGCATATAAGGATTTCCGGTAGCTATAAACTCTGCATGTGGGCAACATTTCATAAATTAAAAACAAAGCACTTCGTGAGCTAAAGCACTAAATTTAGTACATTAAATTTTATGCGACACTATTTTTTGGATTAAAACAGAAAGTGTCCATCTTTCCCTCACTGCCCTCAAGATGCCTCGTTAGCGCAAAACCGTCCATTTGTTGCAAAATATTTCGCCTCCCCGCAGCAAAATTTAGGTGAGCATTACTTAGTGGGTGAAGACAGCAAAATCTGCATCAGTAAGGCCGACAACATAGTAGAAGCGATTCGAAGCGATTCGATGCGATAGCAATTGGCAAAGCGAAATGCAGCGGCAAGCGAAGCAACCTATGACATAGTGAAAGCGTTTTTGAAAACATTACAGTCGCGCGCGCAGTGCAAAATATTTGTTCAAATTTGTTATTCAGCATGGATTCATCCGATGAGGAATATTTCGCTCCACTTGCGTTCGAAGGCGTCAAAACACAACACGAACAGCTCTGTCGCTTTGCTGAACGCTTTACACCTCTTCGCATCGCTTTCACTATGGCTGGTTTGGGCGATTCCCATAGAACGCTCATAGAGGGTGCTTTCACGCAAGCGCTCCGCTTATTGCCAACGAATCGAATCGCTTCGAATCGCTTCTACTATGTTGTCGGCCTAAGAATAAAAACAATAAGCTTCACCAATGAAACAAAACGCGGACCGCGGCAGGCAGGAGAAAAAAAACTTTCTCTCTCTTTGCCGTGTCTCCGTTCCGTGTCCGTACATAATAACCAGTGAAATCTTGCTCAACCATTGACTCAGTCAATCAGTGATACAAGCCACCTGAAACTCGAGCGGCACTCACTCAGTGCCCGAGTTTCCTCGGTATCGGCTTGGATTTGTGCATTTCATAGAATGAACGGATAAAGGCGTAAACGTAAAGGGCACTCTTTCGCTCTTCTCTTGAAGCGGTAGGTGACTGATGAACAGAGACAGTTTTGGTTTGTAGTTCTCTCCCGTGGAGATTATTGTCGGTTTCAAATCGCGACTTCGCTCATCAATCAGCAACATTGAAAAAAATATTGAAATCTAAATAGTATAAAAGTTACGCGAAATCGCAAGTCTCCGTACCGACGCAAAGGTCGGTATAAAGGGAGAGAATGCAAACTTAGTATAAAATGGTTTATGCGTGTCATAGTATAACATCGAAATATACTTACAATGCATAAATACGGTTTATTCGAGAGAATGTATTTTGCGCACTTTTTTTTATCAAAACAATCACACCAAAATCAGAGATGTCCCAATTTTTAATTACTCGATTGACAACTAATCGATTATTTTTTGTTCGCTGTTCTATCATTTTTCCACCAATGACAGTGCAGCACATGTTGGAAACAATCGGTGATGATCCTCTGGAGAATTTAATGCTTATACGTATCGGCATGATAAAATCACGAACCAAAAAGTTAAATATTTGTAATCGGTTATATTATAACCGATTACAAATATTTTACTTTTTGGTTCGTTAATCGATTATTCGAATGAAAATCGGCCATCACTTAGATGAATGTGAAACGTCGTTTCAAATGTAAGAACCGTCCATAAACAATTTGAAAGAGACCGGAGATAATCACAAATTACGTCCCCACGGTAACTGAAATAAACACGAGTGTTCACCGGTTGCCTATAGGCTGCACTCTTGAAGTATTTTATACCTTTCCTACATTTCAAGCAAGTCACTTCATTCTGTAACTAACTATTATTGATAACCACCACTTACCGTCACACACGGCATCCACATTGGCCCGATACAGTGTCGATGTATAATTTTCCCCAGCACCACCCGTTAGACTTGTGCTGTTGATCTTCACCTTGAACTTGCCCCGGTCTAAACGCTGCTTCTCGACAAAGATGTCCTCAAAAAACGTTTCATTCAACCAATCGGGAATTTTCGTTGGTTGCTGGTCAACAGTTTTATCTCCATCGGAAACCATTATCTCAGATGTTGTTAAGTAGTGTATCGTTTAATAGGTATAGACGGACACACCCGAACGTATCAACTGCAGAAGATCAACTGCGGCTGTTGGATTCGGCTGTGTAAGAATTCAATTTACCGTATAGAACAGACTTTCAATAGTTTAGAAACTCATTGCAGCTTTTATCTCGCGTAGCTTGCCGTTTGAAATGTGGCTACAACTATCGCGCAAACAAATTGATTGAGTCGTATGAGTGGTATCATAAAGCAGATGTGTGGTGATTTGGTGGTAGTGCGAAAAATGTACACGATGACGCAATAAAAATTAACTGAACTATTCTGTAGGGTAGTCATTAAAGTTGATTCTATCATTCGCGACTCACAGCGTCCGTCAGCTTGGCGACTTTACAGTACATTATAGATGGGAGCTTCAATTCAGAATTGCACGGCAGAAGATAAGGTAGCTGTTATCTATTAATCAGAGTACCTCAGTGTTTATTTCATGCATATATATGGACACTATTGAAAGAATATTAAGAGTTCAGGATTCCCAAATTTGTTCACCATGATTACTTTGCTGACGAACAAAGCAAACCCTCATATGGTAGGAGCTACACTATTGTGTAATAGTTTCTACCATCAAATCCGACAGATGTTGCCCCGCCAGTGGTGGATAAACCAGCTTTGCGGTATGGACATTTTTTTTAAAAATCGTCGATTTCTCTTCAAACCTTGCTTCTAGCGGTGAGAAAATCTCTACATTTTGTTTTTTTAGCAATAGTGGCATTATGGAGAAATAAAATATCGGGCAAATTGCACCATTATTGATATTTTTAATTAAATGTGAATTTCACCATACATTTTCAAGTCGATTATCCACCAGCCCATACGATTGAAGACTGCGCGCCCTCTGGTGGTGAGTGCTGTCAGAAGCAGCATGAAATATTTAATTGAATTATGTTCTAATCAAAATCTTTGTTGAAAAAACGTTGGCTTTAAAAATTTATATATGATGTTTCTACCATAAATAGAAGAGTTTGTGAATTGTAATACACAAGTTCACACATGGCATCCATATTTTTCTTCTAATCTTTTAACAAATGTGACTTTCTGAACAATCTTCATTTAATGCTTTGAAATTTAACTGATGAAGTAGGGGAAATGGCTCTAATGTTGGCCTATGGATCTAAGATTGGGCCCATCGCTAAAAATCTACTATTTACAAATTTTATCTAGATGAACGCGACATTGGGATGGTACCAATGGATATTTTTGGTCAGTATTGAAAATTTAGTTAATTGCTGAATTTAAGTATGGAACCAAATTAGGGGCATTTAGACTGACATTACATACATTTCCCCTACTTTTTTTTAGATTTTTTTCTTTAGCTAACTTCGGTCTCTTATCCGCCTGCAATCGAGTGCCAATCACCGACGAGCGTCAATTGCCAATTGTTTAATCGCCGACGGCAATCAAGTGCCAGGCAGTGATGCCACATTTTTAATCTATGTTTTAAGTTCCAAACATATTTTTTGATTTTCAGCATCAAAAATCTGTATCAATCTGTAGATTTTATCCAACAATCTGTATAAATTTAGAATTTTTTTTCCAACAATCTGTAATCTATCCGTAATACAGATATATGTATCGAAAATTATCTCGAAATCTGTACCGTTACAGAAAAATCAATATATGTGGCAAGAATGGTGCCAAGGATGCGACATCCGCACCTGGAACCCAGTGTACCCATCGACACTAGGGTCGGGACCAATGACATTTCTTCCCTACCTAAAAAGAAGGCGTGGCCAGAGATTTTGTCGCCTCTGAAAAATCCCAACGACCTCGTCTGGGATTGAACCCAGGCGCACTGGGGCAATAAAGCCGTCACGCTTACCTCTCGACCATCGGTGCCGTTTTCCTAAGTAATGCCGCAGCTACACTTGTATACCAAACTATAAACATGAGCATTATTTGTATAATAAATTGTGATACAAGTGTATTCACGGCATAACTCGTTCAAATATACTTGCCAAAAACGAACCGTCGAATATTTGGTTAGGCCCGAGTATTGAGATTTTCACGTCCGGTTGTATTGGTGCTATATGTGAAAGCGTGTTAGTGAAAATTAGAGGCATATACATAACAAATCGCTGTCAAATTCATTTTTACGGATCTAATTTCATAAATTTTTTAGGTTGGCAAGAGGAAAATAATAAACAACTTTACACGGTGATGCACCCGCTAGTGTGCGTGCGTTAAACGTCACTAATCTCTATTGGACCTTTGCTAGAAGTGTGAAGATTGTTAGAGGGAGATTTTTTTTCGAAGCCTATACTCAAAAAATATTGAAATCTAAATAGTATAAAAGTTACGCTAAATCGCAACTCTCCGTACACTGAAACAAATCGACATGTACCGTTTATTGGATCCATCTTATAACATAGCAATGTCAGGAGATTTATTCATTCTATGTGATGATTGATAGATTCCAATGGATTATCACTTAAAAACTATGACTGCGATATGGAATGATTTCTATCGTAATTTCACATACTTAGTACTTGAAATACTTTGCTTCGAACGTAGTTAGCGATAGGTAAGATGTATATGAATATTGTCTGATATATTTCATGGTGAAAAACTGTTGATATGTCATGGGTGGGAACAGACATCTAGAAACTAATGGAAAATCATAACAATTTGCACTATGAGCAAATCCAGTAAAATATACCTGTTTTCATGATGAATATTGCTCACTAAAAGATACATCATATAAGATAATCATGTATATTTTATTGGAGTTGCTTTTAACGATTTTTGACGTTTGTTGATATGTCGCGTGTAAACAGACATGTAGAAACTATTGAACTGTCATTTAATTTTGCAGTATAGGAAAACATGTATATCTCATTGGAATAGCTATCTTTGATTTTTGAGGTTTGAAGATTGTAAAAAAATCTATCCCAATCATTAAATAGTCATATAGATTTTCCTTTTAAGAAATCCAACAGCAAACATTTGTTTTGGCATGTTTTTCTGGGATGAACATCGCTCCCAATAAAATACATCTTACATGATTGTTCTTTATAAATTATTGAAACAATTTTCAACGATGTTATCGTACACTTATTAGAATGATTAGTCGAACTAAATATTGCTAACAACAATGATACTGTAATAAATAATCTTTGTTTGTTATTGTTTCATAAGATTAGGGGTTCCGGAAAAGAATGTTTTGAGATTGAAAAATAATATTCTACTGCAATATTTACTTTGATAAGATTCTAATTGCAAGCCTTCTAGGCGGCTAATTCAGATTCCAGCACTAGTACTCAAACTTCATGAACCAGTTCCATGAACTCATATAATGTAGTCGTTGTTTTATTGCACACAGGAGCATTAAGAATGATTTGAATACACGACACCATTGAAACGGAGCATATATTTGTCAGTGCTATTTTTCTTCACTCTAGCAAAACGAGCATAACGTTGCTCTATATTCCACGTCGGGAGAGCTATTATTACTTGATGCTAATTGAACGAGCTCAATATTGAAGTCAGCCGTGGCCCAATGGAATCGAGCGCAGACACGAAAAGCATCACAGCTCAACAGTTCTGGATCGAATCCCAAATCAGCTACAATAAAAAAAGACACAACTGTGAAAGCTCCCACTGCCTGGTGTTATTTTTTTGATTTATTTTTATAAATCGATTAAATATATGTGTCAAAAGAAGAAGTAAATTTCATGTGATTTTCACATAAACTTTACTTCGATTGATTTATGACACATATATTATATTGTGGTGAAAAGTAAAGCTTATGCTTATGGGTTTCAAATCCATTTCAGTTAATTATTATAATTTGACCGATTTTCATTTATCATATGACGATCATATAAAAGTTGTAAAATTATCAGCATTGTCAATGTATCAGATATTCATATAGAATTTACCTGACACATTTTCAATCATATCATTTTCAATGGATTATCTTATTGACATAACAGGAATATGTCAAATTGGTTCAGTGTACCGACGCAAAGGTCGGTATAAAGGGAGAGAATGCAAACTTAGTATAAAAATGGTTTATGCGTGCCATAGTATAAAATCGAAATATACTTACAATACATAGATACGGTTTATTCGAGAGAATGTGTTTTTCGCTTCTTTATTATATTTATGGTAAATATTAATGTTTTCAAATGCAAATTAAAATTGTCTCAGGAAGGTTTTTTAATTATTTTATGTTTTATGAATATTATTCAAAAAATACTTACAATTTCGATGTTCATTAGGATGAACCTCGGGATGAACTCGTGCTCAGAAGATCAAAGGTGCAGTAAAAATCCCCCGGGACAAAGCTCTTCACCAGCACGAAGCTCCGAAGAGAATCCAGATGTTCTTTTTCCTATCATTTTAGTGAACACTGATCGAATTCCACTCCGTTATTCGGACTTAGTATAATTTTGACGAAAATTTTAATCGGACCAATGTATAAATTTTGAAAAACCATAAAATGCATAAAATTTAATCTATATGCGTTTTGTAATATTTTTGAGTGTAGTGACTCCGACGCAGCACGACAACGTGTTTGCATTTTCGTTTCCATGCAGAGAACAAAAACATTGCCAAATTTTAACATTTGAACATGTATGAGAAATTTTTTTCTCAATCATCACTGTTGTCCATAAAAGGCAAAATGCTATCATTTCAGGTGGTTCAAAGCACACCCCCGTATTAAGCTGCGATAAAAGCAACAATAGGTATTTTGCAGAGATAACGTGAAAATAAGCCCGATAACACGAGGTTATTTACAGAAAGGCGTACGTAATTTGGCCATGTTTTTTTTTTCAATACGAAGAGGATTTTAGTATGATTATACAGCAATTATCCGATTTTGTGAAGGCGCATCAGACTTTTACCTTTTAGTTACTTCACATAACCGTTATTCCAAATCTTCCTCACTCATCTTCAAAATGGATCTTTAATGTATACTTTGGTGCAATAAGATCACAATAAGAATATTGGAAAAGATTTTCAAAAAGGAAGCTGACAAAATCGGATCGTTACTGTAATTTCATCAACTAAAATGGAACCAATAATAATAATCTTTCACAGATGGCACGGTGTGTTCGTTATTAAGAGATATCAAATGTGTTTATAAACGAAATTCATCATGCTACAAACGTATTTAGGGTGGATGATCCAGTTTTGGAGGAACTAGACATTTTATTGATTAAAAATAAATAAATCTTCTTCATGCAATTTCATACGTCAATCTATAGTTGTTAAGTGTTTATTTTGCCGGAAAAATATTACAATGTGATTAAATTGCATACATTTTAGGAAAAACTCGTCCTCCATAAAAAGGAACACTGTTCCATCAGTTGTGATATTTACTATCTTTGGTTTCTTTGATAGTGGAATGCATTGGTTTCTAATATATTCCACTTTTATAAAAATACTTCCGCAACTAAGGACTGCATAGAAAATAAGTAAAACGTAAAACCATATTTTTTAATAATATTATTAGATAATTTATGTCATATCCTCCTTTAAACGTTAACACTGAAAAAGTTTTTCCAAATTTCAGCAAGAATGACGTACAGAACTGCTGTCAAATAAGAAGAAAATTATTTCGAAAATTTGCATCTTCTTCACAACTTTTTTCATGGATGCTGAGGCTACTAAGATCATGGAAAAGCTTAAAAAATTGATGATGATTTACATGATTTTTTCTAAGTGTGTATGATTCGTTAGTCGTTGGAATCATGTGAGCTAGAAGGGCTAAGTGATGCTTCATTTTCCTCTGATGGTTGGGACATGAGCACTAATTCTTGTCCTAGCCTTGTATGGCTTATGGCTATAGCGAGGGCATATTTTTAGTACAAAAACGTCAATAACTCTTGATCGGCGAAAGATATCGACAAGCTCTGTGGAGCAAAAATTTCCGCATTCTAAAGTTTTAAAAGTTATTGCAAGACCCCTTTGTTGAGAAATTTAAAATCAGAAAACTAGAGCAAAACAACTGTTTTTTTAGAGACACCCTAACTCAATTCAAGAAAATAGCTATAAATCGGTCATTGTATCTCTTTAACAAAAAAGTTTTTTTTACAAATTAATTCCTACAAACAAAAAAGATAGATTTTTGATTTCAATGATAATAAGAACCACCCTAGAATTCATTGTCATAAAAATGTGGACCTAACTATAATGGACAACTTAGTAGAAAAGACTTTTAGTCTAAAGTTTCAATTTCAGGCTCAAAACATATCCTTTCACCTAAATCTGCATTCTGGACTACTGTGCATTGATAAATCTAGTGACGTAGAAGTGCCGATAATTGAAAGTTTTCTAATCAAAGCTATGCCCTGCTGCTGCTTCGCGGTAGAGACAGGGCTGACGATTTGTTTTGCATTTATTTTACGTTATGAAAAGGCTTATAAAAGGGTCTACCATTTATGATGACAAACACCATTGTCACCATTGAAAGATTCATAAAAAAGGCTTATTAATTTTTAAAAATGAATTGTTATCGATATTCATTTATTATGAAAAAAATTTGCATATTTATGATGTTGTGTTCTGAGATACAGTTACTATTGTTATTGTGAGCGATATAAATGCATTTACAATTTCATTCAATATGAATTAAATAGTGGCGGAAAAATTTATAATAAATTTTCTGGTTTCAGACATAGCTCCTTTTAAAATGATAAGCGATATTTCTTTTTATTAAAATTAAATAAAATCGGTTTTCGGAGCTGGTTACCCATGGTTACTCCATGATAGGCCTGGTTTTGTCACACTATCCAAAATTGATAAGAGGAGCTAAAATAATATTTTGTTATTTATTTTTGTGAAGTTCTTAAAAGGACTGACATAAATATTTGAAGAATTTTTTTTTCATTTAAAATTTCTTTATAACGGATGTGGAATAAAAAAATTATCTACTACTTATTTTCGATACACTGCCTATAATCGCATATCAGTCCCATATATTTTTTGTTTCCTTTGATTTGTTTTCCGTCTTTTACCCCTTACTCCCCTATAAAGTGTACCCCGTATTCCCCTAATATCTCATGAACTGTTGTTTAAAGACATAGTATTCTAAAACCATGCATAAAGTGCTTATGTTTTACGAAAAATAGAGCTGTGAAAAAACATTTCCTCCAAAAGTAGGGGAAAATGGGGTAAAATGGTCCAAAACACATACCTACAAGGCTCTCCGGTCTATAGGACCACGTGGAATCGATTCCCCGAACGATTTCCCTTCAGAAAAGTCGTTTTTCATGGCCGGAATTCAGCGTGCTGTTGAGATATTGAATTTTGGGTAATTTTGGACCCATTTTTGCCCATAGTGCGACGCTAGGAAGGCAGCTCCCACACCTAGACCCTACCTAAGCGACCCATAAACTCATGGACCGGGGACCAACGGCTTTACTTCCCTTCCGAAGGACGGCCTTATCAGAAATGCTATGCCTCAGAAAATCCCGCCGGTGCCGATTAGGATTAACCCAGGCCCTTTGGGGTGAGAGGCAATCACAATTATCCCTACATCACCGGCGCCACTATCAGTCTCATCTTGATTTCCATGTGGGACTGGTATGTGATTTTGGCTACTACAGTCTTTATAGGTTCAAAGGAGCCAAAATCTTCAGGGAAATTAACTATTTTCCGTCGTTTTCGGGCTAATCCATCGGGGTTTCAAATATGCAAATCTACTTTATTTAGGTACCTATGAAACATAAATTTATCGGATGTTCCACTGTTAATACATAGGTACACCACTATTACTGGAACTCCTACCCTAACTCGCTAGTCAACGCTCAAAAAAGCGTCTAATCATTTCCTTGTTTGTCCAATTCCATTGGATCGGAATCGCTTACCCCGAGATGAGATAAAATACAAATATACGAAACAAATACGTAGACAATGTTTACCTACTAATGATTAAGCAAGTGGCTGGTGGTGGTCAGTTTCATTCGTTTGCTTGCAGAGTTCAGTCTGTGCTTGGGGTGTTAGTTTACTTTCAAGTTGCGTAGAAGCCGTACCGTAAAGTTGGTGGCAGGTCGAGTGTAGAGCAGGATGACAGAAGTACAGGGAACTGACATCCCATCGTGGATGACCAAGGAGTATTTTGTAGATGCCGTAGCCCAAAAGCTCGAGCTGAATGAAAGCGATTTCGAAATCAATTCACTACACGTGAAACTTGCCACCGAATCCGGGGATAATTTCGCCTCAAAGCTGTATCGAGTGACGATAGACGTCAGCACCACAAATGGTTCTTCTAGAAAGGTGCCGTTGATCGTGAAAGCCCTACCATCTGCCGGGCTTACGGAGGAAATGATTCAGATGATGAATGTGTTCCCGAAGGAAACTGAAATGTACACAAAACTTTTACCGAAATTTGAAGATTTGTATCGAGAGAAAGGAGTTAACATTCGTTTTGGTCCAAAGTGTTTGAAAAGTAGTACTAAACCAACGGATGTATTGGTGTTGGAGGATCTTAGTGAGGGACAATTCAGAATGGCCAATCGAAGAGAGGGACTGGATCGATCTCACGTTGACATATTTTTGAAAAGATTGGCCCAGTTACATGCAGCTTCCGTGGTGTACCACGAGCAGCATGGAGCTTATAGTAACCAATTCAAGGAGGGCATGTACGCTGAACGGTCAGTGGCGATGTTTGAAGCGTATGCGAAGACTCATATGGAGTCGGTGACGAAAATAATTCGAAAAACATGGCCGGATGGGGAATTCTATGCTGACGTCATGGTACACGCTAGAGTACAAGGCACTGTGGTCCAGGAATCCAATCTAGATGCGTTTAACAACTTCAAAACGAGTTATTTAAATGACTGTGAATTTTCGGTAATATTTTTTGGAATAAAAAGTTACATCTTTTAGTAATAGAATAATGTATCTTTTTAACTATTCGTTCTGGAGAGATGGTGTCTTCGACTTGGTTGTTTATTAGTAAAAAATATAACTCTCACGAAGTTGTCAAAATCCCAGTGGTCTTAGTTTTCAAGATATCGATTGTTTTAAGATAAATAGGTAAAAAATCAGGTTTTTTAACTTAAGTATGTTTTTTTATCAGGAAAAGTAGTAATTTTTTTAATTTTTGCAAACGGAATTCAATCAAACTTGAAACTTTTTGGACCATCCTGTTTGACGCTTCGTTTGAAAAATACTGTAAAAAACTATTAAATTTACAACGCTTTTCCAAAATCATATCTACCTAGTCTCACAATATCGCACCCTAGAATTTTCAGAACTGCCAGCATTATATATGGGTTATATACAGAAGAAATTTTAGGCAGGAACTCCTCGGAGTTTTTATTTTGTGGACAATTCTGTGAGATTTAAGTTCTTTTTTAAAGAAGGTATAATTTTTGTATAAAAAGGATATCAGCGCTGAAGAGATCACAGTAGGTGAGTAGGCAATCGTATAACAATACATTTTATGAAGTGGCATGATTTCAGAAGAAGTACGGAGAAGGTGGAATAAATACATGAGGAAATTCCAATAACTCATTCATTCAATAAAATTTAGCCACCTTGTTAACTATTGCGAAAAAAAGCTTAACCGTTGAAAAATAAAAAGCAAAAAGCTAAAAGCAATTCCTGATAGATTTGAAGTTCTTCAATCAAAGTCGCTCAAGAAATAACGAAATGGGAGTAATTTCTAAGTCTTAGAGGTAAAAGCTTGGGTATGCAAAAGGTAACATCGAGTACGTTTATAAACGTCTGTTGAACCCAATGATCTCACTAAATCATAAAACCATAATGCATCCTCATTGCGATTGCTTACTATGATCTCTACAGCGCTGTTGTCATGTTTATACAAAAACTACACCTGTTCAATAAACATCATAAATTTCACATAATTGTCCATGAAGTAAAAGCGCCACGGAGTATCGACCTAAAATATCTTCTATATATAGGGTAAACGCTCCTATAGTTGCGGTACGTTAGATGCGTTAGGTTCCTATAGTTGTGTATGGAGACTCCGTACACAACTATAGGAGCCTAACGCTACTAACGTACCGCAACTATAGGAGCGTTTCCCCTATACAATAATGAATACTGTCCGCCCTGAAAAATTTAAAGTGCGTAGTTTTGATTTTATAAAGATATGTAAAATTTAATCGATAATGTTCACTATCTTTAAAACGAAGCATCACAGCAGGATGGTATCTTTTGAAAACTTCAAGTTTTGTTGAATTACGTTTTTGAAAAATACAAAAAGTATAAGTTTTCCTTTAAAAAAACCTTGGCAGATTTAAAACAAATAATTTTTCTACCTTTCATCAAAAAAAAACAAATCTTGAAAACGTCTTTAAAAGAGTTTATATTTTTAAATAACAAACAACTTTGTCCAAGTCACCAACTCTCTAGAATGAATAAGTACAATGATTTTATTACTTAAAGATGGTACTTTTCATTAAAAAAACATTGCTGGTTAGGGAAGATCTAGAAATGACTTTGCATTTTAGGGTGACCAGCCACACTAAAAATAAAAGTTTTAGAGTTATTAATTTTGTTCCTCTAGATTGCATTCCTGAACCACTGTGCAATGGTTTGTTTATGAATAGAGTGATGACAGTCTTTAATTTTATGCAGAATGATTTTGGTATGTCCATGTTCTACGAGATGATCAGAATCACGAAGGCCGATGCAAATGGATTCAACGTGCTCAACCATGGCGATGCCTGGTGCAATAATTTTATGTTTCAGTACGGTGCGGACAATGATATCGAAGAGATAGCGTTGGTGAGTACATTATTTTGATAATCTCGGATCCAATTGGAGGGCAAATCTGACTTGAACAGTTTTTCTTGTAATCCCCCATGTTGATTAAGTAAAATTTGAAATGGGCGTATTTTGTAAAGAAAATCGTTAATATCGTGTGATCACTCCAAATACGGTGGTTAAAAAAACTACGCCGACTACGAAGCCTCCGAAAAGCGTGTAACGGCAAGTTTGCAATGACATAACTTAGACATTTTTCGATGAATTTCAAACATTGTTGTACTTATAGAATTCCTAGGGTCTGTTGATTGATTTTGATTGGAAAAAAAATTGAAAATAGGGTTGTCTACTTTTTTTAAAGTGAAACGAGTCGTTACACGTTTTTTAAGGGGTGTTTTTGGCTTAAGTGGCTTAAGATCTATAATTTAGATTAATGGGCACATATGTTCATAATTAGTCAAAATACAAATATGGTTCCTATATATGGTTCTTGGAGACAACAGAACGATACTCCGGAAGATCCGGAACATCCTTAAAAGTGGTCTATCCATGGACCTGAACCTAAGGCTCCACGTTTTTTCGAAAACATTAGAAAATGTGATATAAGAAAGAATTTGGGGTCGTGACATAAACATGAACCTGTATGGCCATGGGGCCGTCCTCCGGAAGATCCGGAACATCCGTAAAAGTAAACAATTCATAAAACTGATCCTAGAGCTCCCCAGTTTTTGCAAAACATTAGGAACTGTGATTATAAAATGAATTTGGGGTCGTGACATCAACATGGACCCGAATGATCATGGAACCGTCTTCCGCAAGATCCGTAAAAGTGATCCATCCATGATACTGATTCTACAGCTTCACGGGTTTCACAAAAACACTTCGAACTGTGATATAGGAAAGAATTTGGAGTCGTGACATAAACATGAACCTTCAGGGGTTCCCGAAGACGAACCAGCGTTCGGCTGAAAGTCTCATTAATAAAGATAACTAACTAACTAACCTGGATGGCCATTAGACCGTCATCCGGCAGATCCAGAACATCCGTAAATCCATGAAACTGTGAAATAACCGTGGTTTTTTTTCGAAAACTATGGAACTGTGATATAAGATAGAATTTAGGGTCGTGACATAAACATGGACCATGGATGGCCATTGGATTGTCCTCCGAAAGATCTGGAACATCCGGAAATTGGTCAATCTGTGAAACTGATCCTAGAGCTCTGCAGTTCTTTTTTAAACACCTGGAACTGTGATATAAGACAGAATTTTGGGTCGTGACGTAAAAATGAATCCAGATGGCCATGCCATCCGGGTCCATGTTTACGTCACGACGCCAAATTCATTCTTTAGCTCTAGGATCAGTTTTATGAATTTACCACTTTTGCTGATGTTCCAGATGGGGCGACCCCGGTGTAGTGGTTAACATCCATACCTCTCACGCCAAAGTCACGAGTTCAAATCTCACCCCGGACAAGTCACGAATGACCCAAGAGTGTTAAAAAAAAAAAAAGATGTTCCAGATCTTCCAGAGGATAGTCTCATGGCCATTTAGGTCCATGTTTACGTCTCGACCTAATTTTCATCCTTATATCACAGTTCCAAGTGATTAAAAAAAACCGCTGAGCTATAGGATCAGTTTCATGGATTGCCCATTTTACGAATGTTCCTTGGACATACGGGTCCATGGGGTGACCCTGGTGTACTGGTTAGCATCCATACATCTCACGCCAAAGTCACGAGTTTAAATTTCACCCCTGGACAAGTCACGAATGATCCAAGAGCGTTAAAGTGACCATAATAATAAAAAAAAACATACGGGTTCAGTTTCCTTATTAGAATAGATTTTTCTCCTTTACTTTACTTAAATCTTTGATTATTATTAGTTAGTTAGTTTCCGATTCTCATAAAGTGAGTCTGAAGTCCACGATCCGGCGAGATCCTTTATGTGCTCTACACGAGCAAGACAGCGTCGGTAGAGAACATAGTCAAACATGATTGGTTCGATTTTCGGTGATAGGAAATTATGTTACATTTTTGGATGTATAGACTTATCAAATTTCTTGAGCACCAGTCGGCAAAAATACCTAACGTATTCTGGAGATCCATACACTCCGAGAGACTTTTAATAATTTTATAGAATTTCGTATCGTCTGCATAGAAAACGCGGCTGCCTGATGGTATCAGGATCCTTTATGTGCCCTACACGAGCAAGACAGCGTCCGTAGAGAACATAGTCAAACATGATTGGTTCGATTTTTTGGTGATAGGAAATAATGTTACATTTTTTTTCGATGATAAGACTCATCAAATTTCTTGAGCAGCGGTCAGCAAAAATAGCTATCATATTCTGGAAATCCATACACTCCGAGAGACTTTTAATAATTTTGTAGATTTTCGTATCGTCTGCATAGAAAACGCAACGATGGTAACAGAAAGGCGACGTCGTTTAAAATGATCGAAAGCAGTAGCGGTCCTAAGGAAAGTAAAGCCGTTGGTCCCCGGTTCATGAGTTGATGGGTCGATAGGTAGGGTCCAGGTGTGGGAGCTGCCTCCCTGGCGTCAGTAGCATTGGTGAGCACGGAAAACAAAATCGACGGAAAACAAATCAAGAAAAAAAAGGAGCGGACCTAGGTTACTGCCGTGCGGTAATCTTAACCCGTACATAGAGATTCACCATAGACGAGACGCCAACTATCTCCACCTTGGCAAGCAAGATATTATGGTCGACCGTGTCAAATGCAGCTTTTAGATCCATATATGCAGCATCGAATCGAATTGCCATCCAGTTAGAAGTGAACTGCACCAGGTTTGTGGACACGGAGCAGTTCGGGTAAAAGCCGTGTTGTTCTGTATCTATATATTTTTTTCAGCACGCGAACAGAGCATCATTTATGATAATCCCGAACAGTTTTGAGCAGGTACACAGGGAGGTAATTCCACGATAATTTGCGACATTCCGTTTATCTCCTTTTTTGTAGACTGGGAACAGATAAGAATATTTCTAGCGGCAGGGGAACTCACATTGCTGTGCAGAAAGATTGAATAGCCTCGCAAGTGGAAGGCAGAGATTGGCTACACAACGTTTTTGAACTGATGACGGAATGTCGTCAGGTCCGGCGTCGAACGAGAGCTTCAGTTTGCGTGTTGCGGTTATCACCATGTCTTCTGAAATGCGCGGAATATCGAAACTAAACACATCACGTGGTATCCCAACAGTAGCATTCAGCACTTTTGTCGGCGAAGCGGAGAATCATGGAACACTTCTAGATAGAGCTGGAATTAGGGCCTAACAGCTTTTGTAAACAATGACTTCTATCGATGATTTCTAGAAATTCAAGGCTCGTCCACGCAAACGTACATCCTCATCGGGTAGAAGAAAACTTCCCCTACCCGATGGTTATGTTGGTTTGCGTGGGCGTGCCTTGAATTCCTAGAAAACATCGAGAGAAGTCATTGTTTACAAAAGCTGTTACGCCCTAATTCCAGCTCTATCTAGACTTGCTTGAAATGACGAGCAAACAAGTCGCATTTTTCTCTTTCGCAATTAGCCGAGTCATTCCCGAGAAACATGGAACAAGGCAACCCGGTTTCATTGTGTTTGAAGTTGACAAACGACCAAAAACTTTTCGGATTCGTGCGAAGGTTCGCTTCCGTGTGTCTCACGTGTCGAATATAGAGAAAACGATTGCAATTTCGATAACTACGACTCGCAACATTGAACAGTCGTTTGTAGTACGGCGAGCGAGAGTTACAATACTTTCGGAGGGCGAAGAGCGTTGACGTTTTAGCACGCGTAGGCGTGGGTTATAGACCATGGAGGCTTTTACGGGGGTCGTCGTGCTGGGACAATGCGGAAAATAGCATCTTCCAATGCAGCACTGAAAAAATCCACAGCATCATTCTTATATTACAGTTCCAAGTGTTTTCGGAAAAAAGCGGGGCTCTAAGATCAGTTTTATGAATTGACCACTTTTACGGATGTTTCGGATCTTCCTGAGCACGTTCCCATGGCCATCCGGGTCTCTATGTATTTTTCTTTATTATCGTGATTTTTAGCCGTCCCTGTGTATGCCATGACCCCAAATTATTTCTTATATCACAGATCCTAATGTTTTCAATAAAACCGTGGAGGATCAGTTTCGTGGATTGATCACTTTTACGGATTTTCCAGATTTTCCGGAGGATCGTTTTGTTGTCTCCAGGATCCATATATAGGAACCATGACTGCATTCTGGCTAATTATGAACATTTGTGCCCATTAATCTAGATTATAGATCTTAACCCATAAACACACCTTTAAAAAACGTGTAAAGACTCTTTTAGCTTTTAGAAAAAGTAGAAGACCCTATTTTCATTTTTTTTTTTGCTATCAAAATAATCCACAGACCCTAGGAATACTAAAGGTACTTGTTTTTTTTAAATTCACCAAGAAATGGCTAAGCTATGCCATTGCAAACTTGCCGTTACACGCTTTTCGAAGGCCTCGTATTCGGAGTGTTAAGAGATACCGATATACTTAATTCGGCAAAACTGTGCACTTAACAAGTTCTAAAAGTTACTTGAGAATTTCTTTCACGAGAAACAAAAGATGTAGAGCTAAAAAATATCTTGAACAAATTCTGAAAAAATACTCTAAAATGAGATCGTTTAGAGGATCTAATGTTTCTTCAACAGAGTTGTTTGAAATTTACTCAGCTACAACTTTGCTCAAGATTATATGTATTAATTTCCAAAAATAAGAAAGTTAGTTTTGCAATATCAATCCATTTGAGGATCACTCTAATTTTTACAAGCACCAAAAGAACATAATTTTTAAGCACAGCACCTTCACCGAAGACACCAAGCGTCTAAATATTAAAACAAAAGAGCTAGGACTATTTTTCTGCTAAATTCCTATGATGGACCACTGCGCAGTGATTAATCCCAAAAGGGCGCCTACATCACTCTATAGAGATTGCTAAAGTGTGATTGTGATCGTGATTTGTTTTCATCTGGAAAACTTTCGCTATACATAAGTTTTTCTCCTGATGAAAACATTTTTCGTATATATATAGGGTTAACTACCCCATTTCCAGCCTATTAAGCACAACCCGCACTTAGTCTTTCTTAATCTAGCGCAATTTAGCACCAGACGGAATGTTATTATTACTGATGGCTTCCAAATTTATTTACCTTTCCGTATGCACCATAAGATTTGATAAAGAGAAACCAATTTTTGAGATATTGTCAAAAGTCTAACACTGCTTCTTGATGCCAAACTCGGCCTACGGATTCTAAACTCGGTCTAACGCATTGAAATGTCATTGAAACGCCATTGAATTCACTTCGGCCTTTCGAATGAAGATAAAAATTGATTCTGTCGGAGCGCTTCTTTTGTTTATGGGAATAATGGGTGAAAACGTTCTCATTGACTTCGTTCCGTAGCTTTTTAACTAAAATATCGTACCAAGCGTATAATTGACTTGTTAACTCTGAAATCATGGATTTATTTGAAGTTTTCTGCTCGATAGGCCCAAAATGGGCGATTAGGCCGAAGTAGTTCTCTACCCTACGTGACGTAGTGTGCGTACGATAAACGTCAGCAATCTCTATAGGGCCTGACACACCGCCATATTTTCGTAGCCAACATAAAAACGTGAACACATATCAGTCAGCCTGGGCCCACGGCTATGCTTGCCATGGAGCATTTCTACTGGCAATTTTCTACGGTTGGCCATGACCTTTCCGATTTAAATTAAGTATTGTACATGTGTTGGTTGCTACCAAAGATTACATTTTGCCAAGCATTTTGCCACGGGGGCACAATCAGGTATTTCGTCGTAGCTCACATCAATAGGTGTTAGGATGACTGCAACATACTACTCTTTCTAGCATTACGCACTGCGATGCAAGTGTGAAAGAGTACCCCGTTTTGTTCTGCCATTCCTCCGTCAGTTTTACCGCTGTCAACTTGTCCAAAAGTGTCAGCTTGCCCAAATATGTCAAAATCATGTGGTACTATGGTGCATTTATATGTTTACAGTTTGCATTAAATAAAGAAAAATTGATGTTTTCATTACATGAAAAGGGCTAATTTGACCAAAAGGCATCCCGGTCCCCGGTCCATGAGTGGATGGGTCGATAAGTAGGGTCCATGTGTGGGAGATGCCTTCCTGGTATCGGTAGCATTGGTACTCAGTACGGAAAACAAATCATGAAAAAAAAAAAACAACCCATCCTAATCAAGTTTACAACTGATTTACTTGTTCTTTCCCAGGTCGACTTCCAAATGTGCGTATGGTCGTCACCCGTCATCGATTTGCACTACTTCATCTTTACCTCCCTTAATCCAGCCATCCGGATACCTCAATTGGACAACATAATTAGTTTCTACCACCGCAACTTGATCGACAGCCTGAAGCTTCTTGGCTACTCCAAAAAACCTCCGACTCTCAAGGATCTCAACTTGGACTTTGTCGATCGAATGCTGTATGGATTTTCATCTTCCTTCTCGGTGCTACCGATATGTCTAATGGAGAAGACTGAAGACGCATCCATTGATACGATGATGTCCGACGGTGAAGCAGGTCATAGTTTCCGGGAAAAGATGTACGCTAATCCAGCGCTGCTCAAACAAATGGAAGTACTGTTACCGTTTTTCTACGATTATGGAGTATTCGATTTACGGAACAGTGGGTATCAGTATCCTAGTGGAGTGTCGAGTGATTTCCTCACGTTGCCCGGATGGATGAGAAAAGAGTTCTTCAACGAAGTTGTGGAGAAAAAGCTCAGTGTCGAACGTGATCAGTATTGTATTGAACGTATTTGGGTAGAAATTGCCACCCAGAAAGGTGAAAATTATGGTTCAATTATGTATCGGGCAAAATTGGACGTTGATAATAAGATGACTAAGTCGCTGAACAAGTTCTCCGTTATCGTAAAGACCCGTCCAACTGGATTGGCGGCAGACTTCAGTAGCAAGTTGGATCCCTTTTCCAAGGAAATAGAAATGTTCACGAAGATTATTCCAGCATTCGAGGAACTGTATAGAGAGAAAGATTTGAAGGTTGAAATTGGTCCTCGCTGTTTGAAAGTATGTCGAAGATTTCCCAGCGATATTATCGTAATGGAAGATCTATGTAGTGAACGTTATAGACTTGGCAAGAAGCAGGAAGGTACTGATCAAGAGCACGTTGAATCGATTATGGAAAAGCTCGCAGAGTTTCATGCTGCTTCGGCTGTTTACCATGAACGGAACGGAAATTACTCAGACTCTTTCAAAGAAGGTCTGTATAATAAGAGTAACCTACCTGTGATGGATTATATGTTTAGGCCAGCCTATGAGGCAGGATTGGAAGCGTTAAAAACATTCCCATTTGCAGCAGACTACATTGATGACCTGGAAAAACTTCGACCGGTGATATTCAGTAGAACGCTCGAAAACACAATGGTCGACCCGAACGGATTCAATGTGCTAAACCACGGTGATTTTTGGATAAACAACGTGATGTTCCAGTACGATAGTGAGGATCAATTGAAGAATTCTACACTTCTAGACTTCCAAATGTGCTTCTACGGATCTCCCGTTTTGGATTTGAACTACTTCCTGTACACGTCGGTTAACTTAGATATCAGACTTTCCAAGCAAGCATATTTCATTCGACATTATCACGAGAAACTCGTTGCTAGTCTAACATTGCTAGGTTACAACAAAGGACTGCCTACTTTGATGCAACTACAGTTTGATTTTAATGATAGAATGGTCTACGGTATGTTTGTCCGCAGGCTGTTAGTCCCAGATAAGTAATAATTGGTGTAATCATTCACAGGTTCATCGAACATTTTCGGAATAATGGCTCTGATGTACCTCGATCCATCAGATGACATCAGTATGGAGTTGCTTCAGCAGGATAGCGACGCTGGGAGAGAGTTCCGAAGACGCATGTACACCAACGCGCGGTATGTGAAGGCAATTGAATGTTTGCTGCCATACTTTGCCGAAAGAGGCGCTTTCAAGGCAGAAGCGGAAGTGTGTCGTTTTGTTAATAAAAAGGTCTAATCATTCCTGTGGCTGTTAGTTTTTAACAGAGTTCATTTTGTGTATCACAGAACTGATTAAAATTTGACAAACTGTCGAGAGAAATAAAAACTGTTTGTTAGTTTCTGCAAACCTTTCTTTGGACATCCTATTTGACAAAAACCAAGGCTTTGGAGTCACAGTCCGAGTTGTGGAGATTTTTTCTTATAACTAGATGACATTTTTCCTCTCGATAACACAGCGCTACAAATAAAAAAAATGAATAAACTTTTTAAGTCACCTATTGTAGGTTGTTAGTCTAGTCGAGTACCTACACCATGAAATCACATTTGAAATTGTTCGAAGACCCCAAAAATTTAAAATAAGAAAATCCATTTTGTGTTAGGGATCTCATACTATCAAGAGTAAGAGTTTTGGAATGCAAAAAGTCAGAGCTTTTGAAATATATACACATTTCAAATCTGGTTTTTATATAAAAAAAAACGCATTATTTTAACTTCAGACGCCATTAAGGTGACTAAAACATGATCCTTCCCTCTCACTATAATACCACTTATTCTCTATGCAATTCTAGGATTTTGATCAAAATTTGAGCAAAACCGGTCAAAATTTATCCATTTGAAACTATTTTGTCCTCGTGGAAGTTTAAAATGTACAAAGAGACACAATTTACAAAGTTTTGTCGCTAGGTGACGTTGCAAACGTCCCAAACATCACGAAACCCAATGCCATAATAGAAAATTATGGACACTGAATTCTTTTTTTACGCGGTTTTTTTAACGTGGTTTTTTTTTACACGGTTAGTGCCGCTGAGTCGCGATTAATACGGTAAGTTTTTAAAGATTTCTCAACAACGATACAACCTATCGACTTGATTCCAATCACATTATCCGTTTCCTATAGGTAATCGAATGGCATACTTTAAAAAAAAATCATAATTTCGGATTTGAATTTTTTGGCTCTTTTAGCACTGGTAGTAAAGCGTGTAAAAAATGTATGGGTAAATACTGTTTTTAATTAATTGTAGTTTGTTTAACAATAATATCCAGAGAAAAAACTGAACGACTGATCCCGGACTGATTTCTTTAGGTTGTCGTTCACTTTTTTGACCTGAATATGCACCGAAATCGAATTATTCCCACTTCTCTTAATTTATATATGGGGATTTTTATCACTTCCTACCAACGGAACAGTGCCATATCTGTGGAAAATGGCCTGACGATATAATTAATTAAAGAACGTTAGTGGAGGTGGGTCGGCCACATACTACCAAAGGGCAGTAACAAAAACTTGCAAGCAAGCGCTGGATTGGATCCCGGCAGGACATCTTAGCAGAGGCACATTCAGCGGCTCATGGTGGCGGAACCTCAACAAGGAAATAAAGGAAGTCGACAGGAATCTGGCCTGGGCAAAAGCGAGTAGCCGCTTAACAAATGAAGTGTATTGTTTAACCATTGCATTGCTTCAATAGTTCGGATGAGTTTTCTGAAAGTCAGCACTCGATTAGCTGGCGTAATATTTGCGGTAGAACTTTGGATATCAGTACGATGTCCATGTCAGATGCATACTGACATTGAGGCGAGTGACATCCCAAGTAACATTGCAAGTTTTATCAAGGTTTTAAAGCGTTCTACAAGTCCAATTCATGGTCTACAGAACCCTCATAAAACCAACATTGTTACTTGGGATTGATACTGATATCAGGTGGCTAGTGAAAATTAGCATGTTGTAGGTACTGATATTGATATCTGCAGCACTGGAAACGGTTCTGGATGTATCGATTGAAGATGTCAAAAGCAAGACCAACAACCTTCAAGTCAATACTCCCGAGAACTTACGAAACAACGGGATAGTGCACGAAGTGGTGTAGACTCGGAGGATTTGTACAAGTCAACTGCGTACTGGTTCCCTCACATGCAGTTTTATAGAACGTTAGAGAAGTTCGTAGATAATTAGAAATTTAGTACCCATTAGAGATAATTGATGATCTTTAAGGATCATAAATCTGAAGGGATTAAGGAACTTTGTCGATTTTTAGAGAAATTTACAGAACTTTTGAAGAACACACAGAATTTCAAAGAAATCTGTAGAACTACCGAGAAATTTGCAGATCTTCAGGGAAGTTTGTTGATCTTCACCGATATTTTACTAGGGAAGTCCGAGGGTCTTCAGAGAAATATGTAGAATTGAGTTCTTAACAAAAATATTCAAAACTCAAGTAATCGTGTAGATCTATAGAGAACATTGCAGAATGTATTGGAAATTTACAGCATTTCAGATTAATTTGCAGATTTTCATATAAGCTCATAAAATAGTTCGTGAAACTGCAGAGAAGGTTGCAGTTCTTTAGGAAGTTAGAAGCCTTTAAAAAAGCTTGCATCTTCTGAGAATATTGCAGACTTCAGATTAATTTGCAAAACTTCAGGAATATTCGTATAAATATTCGTATGTTCAGAGATATTGGTAGGCCTTTAGGAAAATTCGCAGAACTTCATATAAATTCGCAGAACGTCAGTAAAGTCCGTGAATCTGTACAGAAATGTTAAAACTTTTGAAAACTGCGATTCATGGAACAATCAAAAGAGATTATATGCAAATTCCTAGAGGTTTAGTGAAGTTCGCAAGGGTTTTCGCAGATCTTTATAAAAATTTTAAAAAAATACTTGGAAGGCCTACGATCTTTAAGAGTAAGGTAGGTTCCTAGACTTACAGAGAAGCACAGGATAGTTTGTGGAGCTTTAGAAAAATTTGCAGAACTACGTTGATAATTTTTTGAACTTCATGGAAAATCAAAGATCAAAGGATATGCATCGAATTTATAATTTAGGCACATGAAAATAATATATTTAATGCGAAAGTAACGAAAAATATGAAAATTATTTTGTCTTATTTGACGTAATCAACAGTACTCAAAATAAATATTCTTATTGATACTGAAGACGTGTTCAACGGACTTGATTTAAAAATTACGACTGCGATTAATGAAAACAACAGTATTATTTAGTGAATAATTAAATTGGTTAAAGCTTTGATGAATGGAATTAAGTATGTTAAGATGTTCGTCAAAATTAATAGATTGGAGATAATATTGTTGTCTGCATCAAAAATAAAGGTTTTGCATAAGCTATACCGTAGATTTTCTGAAAAATTATCGAAATTTCAGAGAAATTTTTAGAGCTTCGGATAAATTTGCAAAACTTTATAAGATATTTTGGAAGTTCCGTTAAGTGTTAGAGAAGATAGAACAACTTAAAGAGATAAACGGAAAAAAAACTGGCGGAACTTCAGGGAAGCTCTAAAATGTTCAAGGAGGTTTTCAGGACTTAAAGAAGTTGTGTATATCTGCTGAAAAATTTGCAGATTTTTGGGGGAATTCCCGGAGGTGGATAGCAAACTTGTACTAGCTTTTTTGACGTAGGACTACGTCTTTGATTTCTATATGGGGGTACACTTTGTGAAAACCGAAAATGGAACATGTAACAAATTAAGAAAGATTTTGAACGTTAATAGCTCAGCTGCCCCTGGTCCAATTTCAATAATTTTATCACCAATCGATCAGAAATATGGCTACGCATCGATAACAGTGCTTCCGAATGTTGATTTTCAAAAATTAACTATTGAAAAACTGGTAAATGTCCAGCATTGTCCAAAAGCGTCGAATTAACTAACAAATCCACCAATTACCTACATGTATATGCTGCTTTCCCAGCACAGTCGTCAGAGAGTAGTAAGTAGACGAAACAAGTCGAAGTGGCATTCGCCTCCGATCCTCGGGCGCGTGCGAATAGGGAGGATGGAATTGCGTAATATTTTGCACACTCATCGCCATATTCAGAACCGAACGCAAATTCTTCGAGATAACAACCATCCGTCGTCTGGCTCGCCGTGGCGGTGTCTGACGTATCTCCGGTCTGATTTACGAGGTATGCTGAAGCTGAAAAATGAGATCCGTGATGCTGTCACCTACACTAAACACGCCAAGCGTAAGCGGTCATGGATGTCATCTACGTTTTGAAGTGACAGAGACGCACTCTGTTTGGTTTCGAAGGTTAAATCATCACCAACTTGGGCAACAAAACGGCTCTTTTCAGGGCCACCAAGCTTATTACAGTAAAGAGTAGGAATAGAATTCATCTGCCTGTTTGTCTATATTCAGAACCAACGATCACACAAAATGCTCATGTAATCAAACTGGAAGCAGGACGCCAGGAAACATTTGTGAAGCCGAGTTATTTACGAAATAGAGTGTCGATGAAGAGAATCGATCAATGTAGATAGGACCTATTGAAAAGTGTCGCGAGATTTGTTTTCCATACTGAGCTCCAATGCTACAGACGACAGGGAGGCAACTCCCACACCTGGACCCTACTTTACTTCCCGAAGGAAGGCATGATGAGAGATGTTATGCCTTAGAACATGCCGGTGGCGCCGACTGAGATTGGACCCAGGCCTGCTGGGGAGAGACGTAATCACGCTAGCCACCGGTGCCGATATCTTTCAAGGTGATATCACGGCGAATGAGATCGACCCAAATTTGAGTTTAGTTATCTAAGAAATAAGAAATAAAGTGCAGGAATTCAGCGATGAGTAAATTTGCCTAATGGTTTCCCAGGTTTTTCCAGGATTTTCCAAATTTACAAATTTACTCATCGCTGAGTTCCTGCACTTTTGGCGATTATGAGTGAACTAAACTCAAATTTGGGTCGTTTTCATTCGCCGTGTACGCAAAAGGAAAAGAGCCAGTGTCGCTACTTGATAGCAAACTACTCATAATGGGAGGAGTCTTTGTAGCTTTTATACCACTTGGTTGTACATCATTCTGCTTTAACCTGAAAAGATATAAAGAGCGCTGCTGTATGTCATTAGCTCATTTTCGCTTCGGACGGCGTGGTGAACAGCAATAGCAGCAGTAGGAAGGTGGTGGCTAGTCCACTGCTTCACACCTAACAAGCAACAATTGACTGGTCGTGGCAAAGGAGGAAAAGGTCTGGTAAAGGAGGCGCCAATCGTCATCGCAAAATTCTTCGAGATAACCGCCATCGGTCGTCTGGCTCGCCGTGATGTTGTCAAACGTTTTCCCGGTCTGATCTAC